ACCTGGGACAAGAAGGGGCGAAAGCTGCCTGGCACCACAGCGTAGTCAATCATGCGTCCTTTTCCTGAAGTGCATGAGACCTCGACCCCCTCTGGGGTCACGACGCGAGCCCGAAGTACGTCCAACCAGCCCGACTTTGCCATCTCAGTAGGCGTGGCGTTGAAGTCTCCCACCAGCAACCATGGCACATCCAGTGACTTGACGACCCTGGCGATGTTGAGCATCTTCCTGGAATTGGTCCCAACCATTCCGATGGAGCAATCAAGATAGCAAACAATGAAGGCGAAGGTAACCCCATGAAACCTCCATAGCACAACTGTCGTATCCCGAAGGGCATCATGAAACGCGCTCTTGCAAGATGGGTGCTTGTGGCGTAGGTGGCCCTTCGGAGCCAGCACGTTCCCCCGTGCGCGCCTCTTTCAGACCTGCCTGTAGCCGTAGCAGCTGTCCATGTCGCCTCCGACCTCCAACCAAAACTGAGAAGGCGCCTCTCCTCGCACTGGCACTGCACTTGGGACAAGTGGTGTTCTGCCATCCCCATGAGGTCGTACGGCGCCGACTCTACGAACTTCTTCACCTTGATGCTCCAGCTGGTGACGTTCCCGAAGAAGACCGAGACGCGATCCCGCTGGCCGAATGGTACTCTATCTGCATTGTGGTGGGGCGACCTGTCACCCACCCGACGTCTTGCCCGCGCCAGCTGCGGCGGCCGTTGCAGCGCCTCCCGAACTGCCCGAGCGAGCTGCCTCAGCCGCTGCAGCCCTGGCCTTGATGGACGCCGTGCGCTGGATGTACGCCTCCACGTTCTTGACATCAGTGAAATCCTGGTTTGACTCAGCTGGCTTCTCGTCGTCATTGGCCTGCGCCTCGGCGCCAGCTGCAGGGGCCCCAGCTGCAACACCTGCGGCACCAGTGGCACGACGACGCTTGTGAGTGGCTGTCTCCCGCAACTCCCGTAGCGTCTTGGCCGCGTCCTGCGCCTGCTGGCCGATGCTCTGCGCGTTCTTGTACACCTCCTGGGCCTGCTTGGCCCTGGCCAGCGCCGCCTCGTAGGCCGTCTGCTGCTCGGGCGTGAGGAGGGCGATGTCCTCGGGGTCCAGCTCGGGGAAATTGAGGGACTCGTCGGTAGCAGCCGACTTGCCTCCATCTCCTGCACCCACGGCTGCACCTCCAGCACCTCTGGCCGCAGATGTCTGGCTAGTGAGGCGATTGACCTCAGCCTGCGTTTCGGCGCACGCTCTGACGTTCTCTTCCAGCTTGCCGAGGAGTTCCTTCCCTGTCCTGGCGTTGGCCACGACCTGGTTCTTGAGCTTCTCTTGTTGGCACAGAAGACGGCGGAGACACGCTGCATGTTGTTCCAGTAGAACTTCTGGAGCCTTGGGAGGTACAGGTTTGAGCGCATCCGCCAGCTCGGGGCATACCATCTCCAGCGCCTTGATAGCGTCCTCCTCCTTGGCGTCCTTAGCAGACCTGTACTTTGGCAGCAGCTGCTCGAGGAGGGTGCTGCCCGTCTCTCCGCTCTCCAGTGCGAAGGTGACTTCTTTCTTGCTGGATGGCTTCGGCCAGGGTACGTTGTACAATCGACAAGATTCCCAGCCTGGGGTTCCAGCTCTGTTGCAATAAACCCAAGAGCGAGGACAATTGCGGCACACGTGATACGCCTGGCGGCGCTTCCCGTGGGTGGAAGGCGGTCTCGAGCCATCCCTGTTCCTCGCCCTCTCATTGCCGCTGCGTCCCATCAAACGATTCGACACTCGACTTTCGCCGCCTGCAGGCGCCCCTCAAGCCGCGGGAGCCCGTAGCGCGCACCTGGTGCGCACCCGAACTCGGTACGCGCGAGTGCCGTGCGGTCGTCGGGCCTCTCCCAAAAGGACCTCGGGCCGCAGAAGGCTTGAGAGGAGGAGGAGGAGGAGGAGGAGGAGGAGGAGGAGGAGGAGGAAGAGGACGGGTCGCCTAAGCCCGTCGGAGAAACCCTCCAGCCTCGGGGCGACTAATTACACGCAGGACTTGCGCTTCGCTAGAGTGGGCTTCGGTGCTGGCCCAAATGGGGTCGGGCGATGTTATTTTAGGAGGGAACTTGGCTTCGCGTCGGCACCCGCATCGCGCGATTGCGCTCGCATCCGAGCGCGCCAAATTTGGGCCCCGCCAGTTGCAATCGACTGATCCCTACAATGTGCATCGGTTTCCCGAGGGGGGGGCGGTCGTCTGGACGGCGCGCTTTCCGTCCCAAGACCAGTCCCGCATCCCAGCCCAGGTCCCGAATCGTCCGGCTTGGATATCTTTGGATATCTTTCGGGTTGGTCCAAAAGGGGGTCCAGCGACACGAGGGTGGTACAATAGATTTGGTGCAATAGATTTGTGGGGTTGCAATGCATTCGGGGCGTGCAATACATTTCGGGGCGCCAATGTATTACTGGGCGCTCGCGTGCAATACGTTAGTTGCAATACAATGAAATCCAATTCTCTGGCGCAGAACATTTGCAATACAATTGCCCCAAACCTATTGCACCCCCCCTTCAGCTGGACCCCCTTTTGGGGTCAACCATAATCTTTGAACATCTTTAACACATTAGAATGTCATTGAATATTTTCCTCGAACCAATGGGGCTCTTCACTGGTGCAAGTTATCAAAAGATATTCAATGATATTCCAAGCCCGCAAATGGGGCTGGCTTTGTCAATGAAATGACGGTGTACCTGGTCAGACCTAATCGCGATGCGGCCCGCAGTGCCTGACCTCATCGTGGTGGCCCCCGGCGGTGTCTGCTTTCGCAGCGCCTTCGAAGTGCCAATCGTGGCGTTCAAATCCAATTGGCGGAATTCCGCGGTTGCCCGCTGGCTCAAAAAATTACTCGGGTGGCGCCCCGCCGATCGTTGATGCGGCGCGGCAGCGCTGGATTGCGCGGTTGCATTGGGCCCCCGCGGGCGCCCATGAATAGAGAGCAGAAAATCCACCCCGATAGTAACCAACCCGACACGCGAGGCCTTTCGTGAACGCGCCAAGAAGGAATCGACCAGGGCAGGGCTGTTTAGTAAACGCCCAGGGCCGTTTGGTAAACGCCAATTGTCCGGTCTGGGTGGTTTTTCCTCCCTTGACTGAAGCCACGCACCAGAGGTCACTCCAGCTCAGGTTAAGTCGGGCCTGTCCCTCTGCAGGAGGAATATTCAAGAATAACAAAAAGTAGTCTGGGGACGATCTTTTGACTATTTGATGACCATTTGGCGGTATTGTTGGGTTCTTTTCCCGCCCCAAATCCCCCTGTAGGGGGACAGGCCCGACCTAAAGCTCAGGGTCACTCCTACATGTGTTGTCGATCGCGAGCGCCCGGCCGCGGCCCTGCGCCACGCCGGTGAATCGAGCGGGGCCGTCACCACTTGGCTTAGGTCGGGCCTGTCCCCGTACAGGGGTATATTGGATGAAAAATGCAGAATACCCCAAAAAAAACCAAACAGATGCCCACAAATGCTCAAAATGTAATATTTTTGAATTTTCCCCCTGTAGAAGGACATGCCCGACTTAACACTTGGGGGGGGGGGGGGGGGCTCGCCGCCTCGTCGAGGGGGAGGGCCCCCCGCCCGCCCCCAGAGGGCCCCACTAAAAGCCCCCCACAATTATTCAATATGAAAATACTCTCCCTCTTCCCCTCGTGGCGTCCGGGTGATGGCCGCGCACCCTCCGCGTACTGTTTTTATACACACAGGATGCCCGGGAAATCCCGGGAAACGACTCTCGCTGAGGCGCCGGCGTCATTTGTTTCCCAAAATGCTGCTCTCGTTGAGGCGCCGGCCTCATTTCTGCTCCCGAATCGTTCCGGATCGTGCTCCCGCTGCAGCGTGGGCCTCATTTTCGGATCGGTGTTTGGCCTCCGTCGTTCAGGATGGCGTTCTCGCCCCAGCGCGGGCCTTTTTCTCGCGCGCCCATCCGCCCGCCACCACCGCGCCGCACCGCCACCACCACCACCACCACCACCACCACCACCACAACCACCACCAGCACCAGCACCAGTACCAACACCACCACCACCAGCACCACCACCACCACCACCACCACCACCACCACCACCACCACCACCACCACCACCACCACCACCACCACCACCACGACAACCACGCACACACGCACGCACGCACGCACGTGCACCACCACCCACTACGCACGCGCGCGCGGAGCCACAGGTCCGCTACGACACGCGTCCGCGGATAGAGAAAATCAGCGCCATGGTAAGGGATGGGAGGGAGTGGTAGGACGTCAGATATGACGCGAGCGCACCTAGCTTGCCTGCCCCCCCTCTCCTCCCCCCCTCCTCCCCCTCCTCCCTCCTCCCTCTCCTCCCCCCCTCTTCCCTCCTCCCCCCCTCCCCTGCCCCCCCCTCCTCCCTCTCCTCCCCCACTGGAGTGCGCACTTCCTTCAGAAAGCCCCTCCCCCAGAAAGCCCCCCTTTCCCCAGAAGCGGAGGACACCCCTCCTCTGAAAGCCCCCCTGCCCCAGAAAGCCCCCGTTCCCCAGAAAGCCCCCCCTCCCCAGAAAGCCACCCCCAAAGCCACTCCTCCCACCCCCCCCCGAAGGCGCATCATCTCGAGGAGGAGAGCCCTCCCACCTCCTCCTCGGCCCCCCCCCCCCCTCCCCGATTCGGGTGTGGCTAGGAGTGCCCCTGGCCCCAAGGTGCCCCCAGGATTTCCATGGAGGCCCCCACGGCCTCGAGAGCACACCTTACGAGGCTCAAAGGCCCCAGTGGCTCCAAAATGGATTGAAAAGCTGGGGGCACCCTGGGCCAAGGGGCGCCTTGAGCAAACCCCCGACCAATAGAAGCCGCACCTCGCCCCCTCCAAAAAACCTCCCCAGCGCGCTCCAGAGCTGCCCAAGCACCTCCCCGAGCCTCGTTCCTCGAGCCCTTGATCCTCGGGATGAGCCGGCGACACCACCCCACCCTGAGCGGTGACCTCCTTGGGTGCTGCCCGAGGGCAGAGAGGGAGGCCACGCGCGCGGGCCGGGCGGAGCGACGCTTGTCTTCCCGCCACTCGCCCTGGTAAACATCGCCCTCGGCGTAGCGGTAGGTGCCGCGGCCGTGCATCTTTCCGTCGTGCCTGGGCCACCCTTCCCCTTCTTCCCTCCTTCCCACCATCTCCCCTTGCTCCTCCGTGTCCTGCTCCTGTTCCTTCTTCTTCTCGTTTCGTGTTCCTCCTCCTCGTCCACCACCCCCTCCCCCACTTCCTTCCTCCCGTTGCTCCTCCTGCTTCTGCGCGACTGCTACTCTTCTTCATTTGTCATATTCCTCCTCCTCTACGCCTCCTCTACTCACATTCCTCCTCCACTCCTCCTCCCTCCCCCCATCTCTCCTTACTCCTCCTGTGCATGCTCCTGCTTTCCTTCTTCCCCCTCCCCCGGCACCTGACCATCCTTTCTCCCTTCTGAGCCCGGGATCTCACTCCTCCCTCTCACCCTGGCCCTCAGTCTCCCCCTTCCCGCCAGTGCCCCCCGAGAGTGGGCCAGGTGAAGACGGGGGAAGGGCGTGGGAAGGCAACAGAGGAGGTAGAGACAAGAAAAGAGACCCTCGGAACCATATAGTGCCAAGTGAATGTGCAAGGAGGAAGAAGAGGAGGAGAATGAAGGAGATGAGGGAGAGGACCGGGATGAGAGGCTGGAAGGGGAGGGTCAATCAACGAGGAACATGGCTTGCAACTCATTCTCTCTGGAGGGGCATCAACAAAACAATGTTTCTTTTACATATTCTACATATGAATATATGCACACATTCCGTCATTGAATGACGCCCCTCGGTCCCCCAACGATTTTGCGAATCCCCCCGCCGAACCAACACCTCTCTCCGGACACCACACGACGGCCGATGACGTCCTCACAATGGCCCGCGAAGGTCCAAGATGAACCCGTGAGGGCACCGAGACGGTCTGAGAGACGCCCAAGGTGGCCAATACAGAAACTAAAATGACCCAACAGGTCCCGGACACGGCCCAAGGGACGCCTGAGCGGTGGAAACAACAGGCACACATGTGGATCGTGATTGTTTTGGCGTGCTCGCCTCTTCGGTTTTCGCTGCCCCCGAGACGGTGCACTGGGCTCCCTAGATCCCCCCGAGACGGCAAAGCAAGAGTCCACTGGAGGTCCAATGCAGCTTGACAGCTGCAAGCTCATCTGACTCCGTCCTGAAATCGGAGGAATTATGCCAGGGCATTCTGGGGCTATCTTGAAGGTACCGGGAGCCGTCTGGGGCGCGCCTGAAAGCTCCAGGAGAGGAGTGGGCGCCGGGGCGCATGGCGCAATCCCAGGGCGGAGCCGGGTACCCCAATGGCCAATCTCCGTAGCCATTTTGGCTCAAGCTTCTGCTGAGCCAGATCACCTTGTGCTGTTACCATTTGTGTGCAGGCTTGAGAGCCTCCGTCTGGAGGTTAAAGCAAGGTCTCACGATTCCTTCACCACCTCAGCCATGGCGCCTGCTTCCAGTGGTGTGGCTCCTTGGAGGTGCTCTGCAGCTGCTCCTGCTGACGACGACGCCGCTTGGACCGCATTCTCGGCTAACGGGAAGACGTGGACATGTGGCAGTTGCGGTTGCAAGCGTAACAAACGGTCGTGGTGGTTCTGCAAGCATTGCAAGAAGTACCGTGCTTCATCCGACCCCGGCACGTATGCCCCCCCCTCGTGGGGAGGCAGTTGGCACTCGGGCGGGGCGGGAGGACACAGCGGCTGGCCTGGCCTTCCGCTACGCACTGGACCTCAGTTCGACTCGAATGCAGGTCGTGTCGGCGGCGGAGGCGGTGCTGGCCACGGCTGGGGTGCGCCTCAGCCCGTTGATCACGGCAACACCTCCATTCCCGAGTTGGAGAATTTGGTGGATATGCTCACGAAGTGCGGTGACACGATGGGGGCGAGGAAGCACCAGTCCATCCTGGACCAGAAGCGCCGTGCTGCCGCAGCCCCCGCTGTTCCGCTGCAGGCCAAGGTCAACAAGGCGTTCCATGACCTTCGCCAGCTTCGTGAGCGTACCGACAAGGCCTGCAATGTCTATGAGAAGATGGAGGCTGAGTTGGTTGTGCAGCGGAGCCGAATTCAGACCCTCACGAATGAGCTCAAGCAGGCGGAAGAGGCGCACACGGCCCTGGTGGAGCAGCTTCACCAAGAAGTCGCACCTCCTTCGGCCCCAGGCCCGCCTCCTGCCGCTTGTTTGGACATTGCGGCCATCATCCAGGGCAAGGCTGAGGAGATCCCGATTTCGATCGATTCACTGCTGGCACCTCAGCATGACTACGAGATTGCGGGTGACGACCTCGAGGAGGCAAATCGCAGGGCGCAGGAGCTCAAGCAGTCTCTTCAGGATGCAGTTCGTAAGTTGTTTGGAGATGCGCTGGTCAGGGCCAAAGCCTTCCAGGCAGACCAGAAGAAGATGCTCGAGAGGCTCGCCGCCAAGAGGAGGCGCCAAGACGGAGACGAAGCAGCAGAGCCAGCCGCGGGAGACGGGGATCCCGTTCCTCCTGCCGCCGCCGCCGCCGCGGGGGGCGACAGCGGGGCTGCTGCTGGGGCAGCCTCCTCTGCCCCCCAGGCCGAGGCTCCAGGGGACAGCGCTGCGGCAGATCCTGATCGTGCAGATGCTCGAGCTCGTGCTGAACGCCTGCTGTCACAGGCTTCCCCCCCCCGCAGCCGAGGGGCAGCGGGGGGGCACTGCGACAGCCTGAACATTTCCGCCCGAGCCACCCCGACGGTCTTGGGCCTGTTATCGCGGGCCAGCCGTCTTACTTGTCTAACTTTAGTCTCTCGGCCTCTCGGCCTCGCCTCCGTCGTTTCCTCCGCTCCCGTGGTGCGTGTCCCTCAGGCTGTGGCCTGAAGGCTGCTGTCCGTCACTCTCGCTGGAGGGCCAAACGAATTTTGTCTGGTGATGGTCAGAGGTTCGACTCCCTGCAGGTTACCCTTTCCAAGCCTGCCGATTTTGCTCGGCCTAGCCCAGCTTGCCCAGTGTTGGCTGCGCCTGGCTCTCAGTACCCGGTTGAGGTGGTGCCTGGCCCCAGGATCTCCCAGGCTCCCCTTCCGTGCTCTTACCCTGCCCCTCCTGGCTTCCTGGAGCCTGAAGGGATGAGCTCGATCGCTTTGTCTGTTCGAACTCTCAACTGCAACAGTTGGGGTACCCTTAAGAAGATGATACCTCAGGTCCTGATGGTGCAGGAACACAGATTGGCGGGTAGTGAAGAAGTTGCCCAGGCCTCCTCCTGGTGTGCCCGTAATGGCTGGAAATCGTTGTGGACCCCAGCTACTCTCACGGATAAAGGCACGTCAGGGGGCACTGCTTTGCTTGTGAAAAGCTGGCTTGGTCTTTTTCCCCCTCCTTCTGGACACGCTATCGTTCCTGGTCGGGCCACTCACGGGATCATTCAGGTTCCTGGTGGTCTCAGCTACCACATGTTTTCGGTTTACCTGCATGATGGGGAAGGTTTGACTGAGCGCAATCTCGAGCTCTTGAGTTGCGTTGGCACCTGTGCTGCTACGTGCTGCTCCAGTTTTGTCGTGGGAGGAGACTTCAACGTCTCTCCTTGCGAGCTGGAGAGCAGCAAGTTTGTCTCTCAGCTTCAGGGCCAGATCATCATTCCTGGAGGTCACACTCATTTTGGTCAGGGGGTCCCCTCCACCCTTGACTACTTCGTTTGCAGTGGGGGGCTGGGGAAAGCCGTGGACTCCTGCTGGATCGATCTGACGACGGAGCTTAGTCCCCATCGTCCCGTGGAGCTTCAGTTCCACCGATCCCCTGCCACCCTCAAGGCCCTCAGTTTTAGGAAGCCACCGCCTCTGCCGAGAGACCGAGTCATAGGTCCGATGCTTCCCCCTCCGTGCTGGGATCATGTGATCTCGCGAGCTCAGGCTGGTCTTGATGCTGTCGCAGCAGGCGACGCCGAGGCTGCCCTCAGCCACTTGTCGCCGGCCTATGGAGCGTGGGCCGATAAGGCGGAGGAGGAGCTGGTCCACTTGTTGGGGGCGGATCTGGTGAAGGCAGGATGCAGGAGTAAGGGGCCTCAGCTCGTGTGGCGCAGCTTAGTGGGCCGAGATTCTCAGCCAAGGTATCCCGAGCACCGCGCCATCTGCTGGCTGGTGGCTCAGTTTCGCGCGTTTATGGGGCTGCTGCGGGCCGACCAAGGTAGTGGGAGCCAGGCCGCCAGCTTGCACGCTTTGCTTGCCAGCCCTCCTCCCGCGATTTCTCGGCACTCTAGCAAGTATGCCACTTCATTCAGCCGTGTTAAAGATTTTACTGCTGCTTTGCAGGGCGATCTCCGCCAGGCCCCTTCTGAGCAAATTGTGAAAGGTGATGAGCTCCTGTGCACCCTCATCACTGTCTTGGAAGGGGCCAACGGGGAGTTTCGGTCCCAGGCGCAGTCTGACTGGAGAGCCTGGCTCACGGAGGGCCTCGATCAAGGGGCTCGTCGGGTGCACGCGATTGTCCGTGACCCCACCCCCTGGGTCCCTACCGCGACCCTCGCCAGAGATGGGTCTGTTGTTGCCGACCCCCTCTCGCTGTTGTCCCATGAAGGCACCAAGTTTGCCAAGTTTTGGAATGTCGGAGCTGGCAATCTTGCGGGTTGCACTCTGGTGGAAGCTCTCCCCAGGGCCGATCCCGCTCAGTTGCGGGCTGTCAGCAAGAAATATAAGAGAACCTCGGCTGTCACTTATGACGGGTTTGATTGCCGTCACTTTCACCTTCTGTGTGATGACGGACTGGTCGCGCTTGGCATGCTCTTTCAGCTGATGGAGTCGGTTGGCCAACTTCCGCGCCAGATTTCTGCGGCGTTGCTTGCCCTGCTCTCGAAACCCAGCGGTGGCTACAGACCGATAGGGGTGTTCTGCTCCTGGTATAGGGTCTGGGGACGCCTCAGGCGTCCCCTTGCCTTACACTGGGAGCAGCAACACCCCCGTCGGTACTGGGCTGCGGGGGCGTTTCGTGGAGCTGCGGATGTGGTCTGGCGTCAATCGTTTCGCTCTGAGACGGGGACCTCGAGAAAGGAAGAGAGTGCCAGCGTCTTCTATGATATGCTCAAGTATTATGAAACGATTGACTTAGACGTTTTAGAGCAGCGTTGTCACCAACACAATT